ACTCCTCCTGTGCACAAATTTTGTGCACCAGGCCTCTAGTAGTACAATAAAAAGTTATGTGTTAAAATTGCCCTTTCGCCCTACCTGGTTTGGCTCAGTGGATAGAGCATTGGCCTGCAAACTGAGGGGTCCCAGGTTCGATTCCGGTCAAGGGAGCATGCCTGGGTTGTGGGCTTGATCCCCAATGGGGGACTTGCAGGAGGCAACTGGTCAATAATTCTCTTTCATCATTGATGTTTGGATCTCTCTCTCCCTCTCCCTTCCTTTTTGAAATCAATAAAAATATTAAAAAATGTGTGTTAAAATTGCCCTTTCTGGTGTGGTTCAGTGGTCACAGCATTGGCCTGTGGGCCAAAGGGTCTGGGGTTAGATTCCTGGTCCAGGGTATGTAGCTGGGTTGCACGTTTGATCACTGTCCCAATTGGAGGATGTGCAGGATGCAAGCAATTGATGTGTCTCTCTCACATCGATATTTTCTTTCCCTCTCCTTCTCCCTCCCTCCCTCTCTCCATCTCTCCTCCTCCCCTTCCTACATTCTCTAACTGGAGTCAGAGGTGAATCGTGGACTGAAGAAGACTTGTTGTGAGGAAGAAGGGCAGTTCTCATTGTTCCCACCTGTAGGGTTTGAACTTTTTGACAGAGTCGAAGCTTTGCTCTTCTATTTGACAAAAATAATCAGTTATTTTAAAGCGACAAATCTTTTTTTTTTTTTTTTTTTTTTTTTTTTTTCTGCTCATCAGATTATTTATTCACTTGATTCTTAGATTCACTTGTTGATAGATGCATATTTGTTGTTCATAATTTGTATCTTTACCTTTTTCTTCCTCTTCCTCTTCCTCTTCTTAAAGGATACCTTTCAGCATTTCATATAATCCTGGTTTGGTGGTGATGAACTCCTTTAGCTTTTCCTTATCTGTGAAGCTCTTTATCTGACCTTCAATTCTGAATGATAGCTTTGCTGGATAAAGTAATCTTGGTTGTAGGTTCTTGGTATTCATCACTTTGAATATTTCTTGCCACTCCCTTTTGGCCTGCAAAGTTTCTGTTGAGAAATCAGCTGACAGTCGTATGGGTATTCCCTTGTAGGTAACTGAGTTTCTTTCTCTTGCTGTTTTTAAGATTCTCTCTTTATCTTTTGCTCTTGGCATTTTAATTATGATGTGTCTTGGTATGGTCCTCTTTGGATTCCTTTTGTTTGGGGTTCTCCGCGCTTCTTGGACCTGTAAGTCCATTTCTTTCACCAGGTGGGGGAAGTTTTCTGTCATTATTTCTTCAAATAGGTTTTCAATATCTTGCTCTCTCTCATCTTCTGGCACCCCTATAATTCTGATGTTGGTACGCTTGAAGCTGTCCCAGAGGCTCCTTACACTATCCTCGAATTTTTGGATTCTTTTTTCATTTTGCTTTTCCAGTTGGGTGTTTTTTGCTTCCTCGCATTTCAAATCATTGACTTGATTCTTGCGCTCCTCTGGTCTGCTGTCGGGAGTCTGTATAATATTCGTTATTTCAGTCCGTGTATGCTTAATTTCTAGTTGGTTCCCCAATATAAGATCGAGGGTCTCATTAGTTTTCTTGTAGATCTCATTAAGTTTATCGGCGGCTTCTAAACAGTTCTTGAGAGACCTTAAAAGTGTGGTTCTGAACTCTATATCTTCCATTGACAATTTTGTCCTGTTTCTTTGTCTCCGCATTTTGTTATGCTTCCTTGGTGCACCCCCTAGTGGTCTTTGTTCGCAGTCTTATAGTTAAATCTTGATTGTTGTAGCTAATTCCAGGGAGGGTTTGACCTCCAGGCCAAGTGGCTATGAGAATCAGCTGTGTCAGCAGTGAGAGAACTTCTGTCCTCTAGGGAGGTGCTAATCTAGCCTTTGCCTGAGGCTATCCGGCAAATGCCTGTGTGCAGGGCTTGGGCGGGGCGGGTCGCACAGGATCAACAGGGTGGGCCGGAGAGAGCAGTTATGGCGGCTCTCCGTCCTGTCCCCAGGGGCTCTGCCTCTCTGAGTCCCAGCACCCGCTGCAAAGCTCACAGAGAAAGCTGCACTCGCTCTGACCGAAGCCAGACAGTCCCGCTTCTCCCGTTTGAGTCTGGGTCCCTAAAGACTCGCCCGGATCTGGAGCTCAGAGTCTGCGACTCCCTCCCGATTGAAAATGCCAACCGTGCCCTCCGCCGCCAGCCCGCTCCGCGCACTCCGCACCTCAGAATTTGACTTCAGCACTGCGCCTCCTCTGAGTGTCCGTATGCGTTTCTCTTTCCTCCTAGTTGTAGGACTTCCACTCAGCCAGCGTTCCTGTGGTTCTGGGTGATGTCCCTTCCGTTTTTTGGTTTCACTTTTGAAGTAGTTGTTCAAAGCAGCAAACTCCGGCGTTAACCTATGCCGCCATCTTGGTTCTCTAAAGCTACAAATCTTAACTAATCTGGTCAATGAACAATTTCCCTGATTCTAAGTTAATATGGGAACTGAATTTCTGTTTTCTCATAACTCATTGTGAAAGCACATGAAAACAAACCCAAGTCTCGCCCAATTGAAGCTCTGTGATAACTAGTCTTCAATCAGTATTTCAGCAGAAGTTTATTAGCCAAACTAGTTCTCTGTTTGGATTAGACTCTACACTTCCCATTTGCTCCACGGCATCCCTCTGAATATGTTGCACTCTAAAAGAAAGGGTGCCTAGACTGGCCAGTGTGGCTCTGTTGGTTGGACGTCGTGCCATGTACCAAGAGGTCACCGGTTCATTCCAGGTGAGGGCACATGCCAGGGTTATGGGCTCATTCCCAAGTATAGGAGGCAGCAAGTAGATGTTTCTCTGTCCTTGTAAATGTTTCTATCTCTCCCTCTGCCTCCTTCTCTCTCTAAAGGGAAATAAAACATGTGAAAAATATTGAAGGCGAAGAATGTGCTGAAATTCTTGGACTTGGTGGTGTGGTCTGTTGTGAGTTTACAAAAAAATCAGTGTTGTCCTACAGACAGGACCCTACACTGTTTGGACACACTAGCTGGTGTCCATAGACCCCTAAGGACTGTAGTCCAGTGAGAGAAAGTCACAGGAACATGCAGTCAGTCAGAGCTATTTCCAAGTGAATCTCCTGGTTGAGAAAGAACCTCACCCATTCCCAAGAAGTGTTTCACTTAAAAATAAATGTTTTTTATCACTTTTGGATCCAGTTTATAACTTTTCTAAGGAAATTTGTACATGTCCGGGAATGAAGTCAAGAAATGATTGTGAAATCATTCACGAAAATTTACGGATGTTCCAAAACTCTTTGAAATTTAATATCTACCAAGTGACCTCAGTCAGCTAGCATCCTGGTATTTCATGTATATCTGGGGTCTCACTCACACTTGGTAAGGGCTCATGAAGCAGATTTAAACTCCAAACAACAGCATTGGGCGATCTGTGCTAACACACCCGGGGAGCCCACCATGCAGTTACTAGTCACGGTCATCCTCACCCTGTGGGTCTCCTCGGCTCGTGGACAAGGTGAGTTGAAACTGATGGGGATATTTAGCTCCTTCTTAAGTAGCATTTGACCTTTATCGTGTATCTTTAAGTTTTTGTTTTTTTAATCCTCACATGAAGATTGATCTTTCAGTCCTCTCTCCATTGATCTTTAGAGTGAGAGGACAGTAGGGAGAAGGGAGAGAAAGAGAGAGGAAAAAAATGGGAGAAGGAGAGGTAGAAAGAGAGAGGAAAAAAGGTAGAGGGAGAGGCAGAGAGAGAGAAAAAAGGGTAGAGGGAGAGGCAGAGAGAGACATCAATATGAGAGAGACTGGGTGCCTCTACCCCAAGTACCAACCAGGGCCTTGGATGGAAACTGCCACCGAGACATGTGTGCCCTTGACCAGGAGTCGAACCCACCCCTAGGGCTATTGGAGGGTAATTTACCAACACTTTGGTCTCTGCATTCATTAGGGACAATCTCTCACAATAAGTCATTGGCAGGAATGATGAAAAGTACCGAGACCGGTTACATAGAAACCACCTTTGGCCCAATTCATCCGTCCCTGTGCCAACTGGATGTTTCTACTGATTCACAACAGGGAATGTCCATATGGGATTATTATTCCAAATCTCAATGATGGCTTCTCACAGTAGGGACCATGTGGCCTCACACTTTGTACAGTCTCAGCTGTTACTATTTTGGGTAGAGGGACCGGCCCCGGCAATGTTTTAACAGCACCGTTTACTTTCGTGGAGATGATGAGAGTAGGGAATTACAATATGTCAAGAGATTTATGTCCACTGCTTGAAAGCACCCACCAGAAGTTCTTCTATTCTTAATTAATGTAACGAAATTCTCCCAATAGTATTTGGCTGGTCTCTTGGGGAAACATGTGCTTTTATATGTGTCTCATGGCTTTTGACTTCATGCATTGGTGTTAAGTGTAGCTATATTATGAAGTGAAAACTAAGATATGTAGACTGGACTGCACTGGTAACATGAAAATCTGATTTATAGATATAGCAGATTAAAATGTGAGAGAAAATAAATGTATTTTTTATTTTTAAAATATAGTTTATTGACTTCAGAGAAAAAGGGAAAGGGAGAGAGAGTAGAAACATCAATGATGAATGAAAAAGAATCCTTGATGGGCTCCCTCCTTCACACCCACTTCTGGGGATCAAGGCCCCAACCAGGCATGTGCCCTCATCAGGAATTGAACCATGCTTTCTTGCTTCATAGGTCAATATTCAACCCCTAAGCCACACCGGCCTGGCAAAAAAATGAACTTTTTTATCAGGTTCATTTGAGGTTAGTGTCAATTAACATCAAACTCTGGGGACATAATTTGCTTAACACTTGTGTCTAGAAGGTCACATATATTGTCTACTAGTTTTAATATAATCGTTGCTGATATATATATAAGGACAGGGTGCTCCTTTGAATGCCCTTTTGCTCTTTGGAAAGAACATAAACGTGACATTCGCTTTATTCTCATGTCCTTCAAGATTTTTTTCATGTGATTTCTGCATAATGGACATGTCCTTTTACTTTTCAGAAATAGCATGTAACCCGCCAATAATTGCAAACAGCCACTACCTTCCTAAAAGGACCAATTACGGACTGGGACAAGAAATCACGTACTACTGCACAAGTGGCTTCTTCCCATCCATCCGGGGAAATACGGCAAAATGTACGGACAAAGGCTGGGATCCTCCTCCAAGATGTAGCTGTAAGTTCCCTCCAGATCTTCGCCTGCTCTTATTTCTGCAATGACTTCTCTTAAACTTAAAAATACAGGGGATCTGTCGGACTGGCGTGGCTCAGGGGTTGAGCATTGACCTGTGAACTAGGAGGTCATGGTTCAATTCTGAGTCAAGGAACATGCCCAGTTTGGGGGCTCACACCCCAGTGTGGGGCATGCAGGAGGCAGCAGATCAATGATTCTGTTCATTGATCTCTCTCTCTCTCTCTCTCTCTCTCTCTCTCTCTCTCTCTCTCTCTCCCCCCTTTCTCTCTTCCCTCTCCCTTCCTCTCTGAAATCAATTTAAAAAACTAAAAATTAAAAAATAAAGGGGACCTAAGAGGTCCAAATCTTTGCCTCACTGAGAAGGTAAAGCAGAGGACTTCAATGCAGTCTTTGATTTCCACCCTCACTCAAGGGAGGGGCACGGGCTCCCTTGTATGAGGGGATGAGTGTGGGAGACATTGTGCACTTTCTAAAGCCCCACCTGTCACACACGCCCCTCAGTTCACAGGGCACTTCATTCCTGGGGGGCTGCCCCTTTTCCAGTGTTTTCTGTCTCTACCATCTCATTGCTGCTCCTTGTGGATCAGCTCATTGGGAAAGGGGCCCGCACTTAAGCTGGATCTTCCATGGATGAAAAATGAAATGACACACAGAACAGGTCAATGGCTCAGTGTTCATTCAAGGCCAAGGCCTAATAAATGTGGACAGTCAGGTGCCTTAAAGAGGAGGCCATGACCACCGTGACACAGAGCTCAGTGTCCATAACAATGACAAGGAGAGTGATGATTTATGTAGATAAAATATCATTTAAATAATCATGATTTAGATAATGATTTGATGTTTGTATATATTGTGAAGTGATCAGAAAACAAGTGTTATTCACATGACCTGAAGATTATAATTTTTCTTGTCCTAGACAGCCTAATGCAATGAGTGTAATTAGGTGCATATGAGAATATAATTCATCAATGAAACAATGTATCTCTCATTACATTTTTATGAAGGTAAAACATTACTTGTACTGTGTTTTGTTTGTTTTAATTGCTAGTAAATCCCTGTGAATTTCCAGAAATAAAGCATGGACTCCTATATAGGGAAGACAAGTATAGATCATACTTCCCAGCACCGATAAAACAATGGTTTTACTATTCCTGTGATGAAAACTATGTGACTCCTACTGAAGATTTCTGGCATTACGTTACCTGCACACAAGATGGATGGACTCCAGAAGTGCCCTGCCGCAGTAAGTAAACCTTTCTGTGCTGTGCATGTGGCAATAGTTCAGAGTTCAGAGAGCAAACATGAGCACCGCTAAGACTGTATGGGAAAAATAGGTCAAGGGAAGAGTTCTATGAGCAGAAAGACCAATACAGCTATTTTCTTTTACGAAAGGTCCCTCATTAAAAACATGGGAGATGAAAAAAAAAGAGACTTTATTACAATGTCGATATCATTTATTCATAGTTTAATTGTGAAAACTACAGATAAATCATCTTCAATCTTGGTTTTTCTTTTTCAAACACATTTACTAGCAACTTTCGTTGTACTTAAGCTGCCTGTTGGAATGCTTATGTATTCTAGTTTAAAGATTGTAACCGGGGTCCAGTGCGGAGAGCCCTTCATCCTGGGAAACGGGGTGTGGTCGGAAAGGGGGGCCGCCCCCTTGCCCTTCAAGGAACCCAGGTTGTTGGGGAACCTGGTGCTAAACCTTTCCAGGCCACAGGCTTCTAGGTCGGGATGTCGTAGGTAGCAGAGAAGCTCTCTCACTGTGATCTATTGAAAGTCAGCCCTGGACACAAAGGTTTGTCTCCTTCTGGCCTCTCTTCCTTCCCAGGCGGGGGCGGCCATCCCCCTCGAGGCCACCAAGGGAAGGAAGGGGAGGGGAATGGCTTCGACGTCCATTCACCTTCCTTTGGCGCCCAGACAGGCCAGCCCTGGCCTCCTCTCCCGAACCCCACTGTGGCCTTGGGGCCCGGGCTGGGACAGGGAGGAGAGGGTGGGTGGCGGTGGATGCCATCCCTTTCCAAGTGGGGCCAAGGGCCGGCTCCCCTCTCCCCATCCCTCCCCCACCCCTTTCCCTCCCCAGAGGTCGACCAACACTCCCCAAAAAGGGCGGCCAGGAGAACTGTTGCTTGGTGACTCTGGTCGACCAGATGGCTGAGCCTGGACTTAGTCTCGAGCCATGGTGGAGAGAGATTGGGTAGACCAATGTCTTGGCCAGCCCGGCGGTGGGTGAGTGATTGGCTTGACCAGTAGTCTGCGGAGATGAGAGACTGAAAACTATGGACTAGTGGTTGGGGGCGGAAGGGGGGGGGGGCTTCGGGCAGGGGGGGGGGAGGGGGGGGCTTCGGGCGGGCCAGGGGCAGGGCCACGGCCAAAGGGCAAGTAAATGTTCACAGAACTTTTAAGATAAATAAATAAATAAGATTGAAAAGATGATTTTTAATCTATGAGTACATTTATTCCTTTTTCTGATCATTGTGTAATCCTCAGGAAAGTGTGTTTTTAATGATTTGGAACATGTACGTTCTCCATCTAAAGAACAAAGATTGTTACAGGGACAGTCTATCAAAATTGACTGCCATCCCGGCTACAGTCTCTCAAACGCACAGAGCACAGTGACATGTACGGAGAAGGGCTGGTCCTCGCCTCCCAAATGCATCAGTAAGTGAACCTCCCTGATGTCCAGTCCATCTGCGGTTTTCTAAAACCAGACGTATCACCATGGAAAGTTTCATGTGTCAACTCTCAAGGTGAATGTGCCACGCCTTCTTGGCTTTAAGACAAAGGCCTACTTCATTTCCTGTTCCAAATGTGTGTGCAAAGTTTTAAATTTTTGATAACGAATAGGTCGTTAATTTATTGCAGTAAGTGACAGTGAGCAATTAGGCATGAATATTGTAAATACTGTTAAATGAAACAGATTAAGATCACATACTGTATGTGTTCATTGAAGAAGCATTGAAAATGTCTTTTCAATTAAAAATAAATACACTGCTTGCCCAATGTCAACCACTTCACCTATGATTGCATGTATTCATGCTATGAGGATATAAATGAAGATTCTCATATGCAGTCATATCTGGCTTTTACATGTTAAGTACACAGGTTTCTATAAGTCGTTCTGTGGGCGTTAAGAAATAAGAGAATGATTGTTATGGACATGGTATTATACACCAGGATATAATAGAGCTGATCTTTCATTGGAATATTCTTACATGTGTGTATCAAAGCAGTGAACACTGACTTGAACTGGGAATTCAGGTATCTACTGAGCCTCGTGCAAACAACAGCCTGAGCCCCTAAAGGAGCCTCTTTATCCTGCTTTTCCTACACCTGGTTCACGGGTTGAAATACTTACTATTAATTCACTCAGACTAAGAACATTTATAGATATTAAACTAAACTATATGCAATAGAAAGTGGACAAATTGACTTATAAAGCACACAAAGAGATATCAGTTCTTACATTTTTAAATATTTTTTTTCATTTCATGGACTCCCTTTAGTGAAAAAGCTGTACCCTTTGCCACTCATTTTTAAAAATCAATGTGGATAAACTTTCAGTTCTGGGAATTATTAGGGAGAAGAGGGTGTTTTATATAAATACATGGATCATATATCCAAGGACTACAGTCTTCTCTAAGACTCACACTCTGATGGTAAAGTTTAGTATTGCCGGAATGAAATTTTCATAGTTGGATTCTACATGATACGGCATTAGAAACACAATGGTCACCTTTATTTTGCTTTAGAACATTGTGACATGCCCGTATTTGAGAATGCCACAGCCATAATCACTGGAAAACCATTTCGACCCGATGACACGTTGGACTACCAATGCCTGGATGGCTATGAAAACAGAGATGGAAGCAAAAAGGGTTCCATGGTGTGTGGTGAGGACGGCTGGTCCCACTTGCCAACCTGCTTTAGTAAGTTTTTTGATTCCAGCATTTCCTTTTCCAAGAATTGAAAAGTCTACATATATGGAGTCCTTGCTTGAGTGTGGGGATCTAAGGCATTTTTAACACACAAGGGTTAAAATGCAAAATAAGGATAATACTTCTTATGAAGCTTTACATGAATAGTTTCCAACAAAACTACAATTTGTTCTTCAACACTTAAAATGCTCTTTTTCAGAATCTGCAGACAAGTGTGGGCCTCCTCCAGCGATTAGCAATGGAGACATCACCTCCGTCACGTTAAAAGTGTATTATCCGTGGTCAACAGTGAAATACCAATGCCAGGCCTACTATCAAATTCAGGGTCCTAAATATGTAACCTGTAGTTATGGAAAGTGGTCTGAAGTCCCGAGGTGCATAGGTAAGTTCTCAAGATTCTTCTGGATCCTGAGACCATGAGGGTGATGTTTATGAGCTCGTGTGCAGTCTACCAGTCATGCAGTCAGAGTCTAGAACTGTGCTCACCAACAGCTCTCCTGCTCAATGTTTCACATTCGGAGACTCATGTGTAGGGCTACGAGCTTGGAAGAATCCCTATGTGAACAATAATAAAGGTCCTTTAAACAGGAACATTGGGAGAGGCTGATTCTGATACATTAACTGACCCCACTGTGGACCCTACCTGACTCATCCTCTCCTGTGTATGTGTCCCCTTCTGCGGGAGATTACAGCAAACCCAGTAAGTCCAGGACCAGAAATCAAAGTTAATATACCCAAGTCTGAATAGTCTAGAAATAGTGCCAACCTAGATTTTATGGGAGGGAAAGTGTTGCATTTCAAAGATATATTCTAAATCTGAAGTTGAAATGATTGAGTCGATGGACAAGTCTAACACATGTCTCCCAGCACAAACAAGACCTGCTCCCACAACCTAGAATAGGAAGCAGTCTTCATTATCTGGGGACATCAAATCAGTTCGGTGAAGGAGCTAAGACTGTATTTGAGTCTTGGAGTTGAAATACGCAGAGAGCATTTAAGATCATCAAAGGCAACCTCCAACATCGTGTAAAAAATTACACAGACAGATGGTCTGTTAAAGCAAGGAGGTAAATTTTGCTTCAAGTAGTAAAGTTAGAAAGGGAAGATCAGAAAATGTGTTTTGGCACGTGTGTGGAACTCACATAGTATATACTTCTGAATGTACTGGGAAACATTTCAAAACTTTTGGATATGAGGAGTCATATGTGTAATTCTATCATGTCTCATCATGTAATGTTATGGGATGTGTTGGAACAGAACTTTTAGCTATGTCTAAAGCCTTATCAATGACAGTGATGGCTGAACTAGAATATAAAATACTTGCATCAAGAGAAGAGAAATAAGAGTCCATGATATCTTCAAATTTTGACATAAGAAGAGTTGAAATATTGCCACATGCAACAACATGGATGGACTTTGAGAATATCATGCTAAGTGAAATAAGTCAGACAGAAAATATATGAACCATTGATTTCACTTATATGTGGGATATAAAATTGAAACCAACAAATGAACAAATAATAATAAGAAACAAAATCTCACAGACAAAGACCACACTGTGGTGGTTACCAGAGGGGAAGCGGGTGGGGCAGTAGCAGAGGGTAAATAGGGTCAAATACATGGCAGTGAAAAATGATTTGATTTTGGGTGATGGGCACACAATGCAATATAAAGGTAATGTTTCATAGAATTAAACATTCAAAGCCTATATAATATAATTCACCTATATCACCCCATAAATATCATTTTTTAAAATATAAATTAAAAATTTTAGCATGTATAAAGTTCTACAGTGGAAGAACAGTTTGCCCGTAGAGAAAAGAAAAGGTCTGAAACTTTATTATAATACTAGAGGACCAGTGCCCAAAAGTTTGTGCACTTTGTGGGGGGGAAGGGAGGCCTCAGCCCAGCCTATGCCCTCTCGCAGTCCAGGACCCATCAGGGGATGTCCACCTGCCAGCTTAGGCCCAATCCCTGGGGGGGATCGGGCCTAAGCTGGCAGTCAGACATCCCTCTGGCAGCCCGGGATGTCCAACTTGGGGGCTGTCCTTGGGGGCTGTCCAACTTATGGCCTAGGCCCTGATAGGCCCTGATTGCCGGTCAGGCGTAGGGACCCTACTCATGTACGAATATTGTGCACTGGGCCTCTAGTTAGTTTATAAAAAGAAATATTACTAATTGCTTTTATTTATTTCTTCTACTTTCAGATCCATGTGTATTATCAGAAAAAATCATGAAAGAAAAGAACATACAGTTAAATGGGAAATATGACAAAACCTATTTCATAAAATCAGGGAATAGTATTGACTTTAAGTGCAAATCAGGACGCAAGGCAGTGACGTCAGTGGAGTCATTTCAAGCCTTGTGTCTGGAAGGGAAAATGGAGTACCCCACGTGTAAATGAAGAAGCCCTGTGGCCCCAAATATGTGGCCAGTCCCACCTACTGGTCTTCTTGCCTGAAAGCTTGCCAGTCTTCTGGCATTTCCTGCTCTTTTCCACTATATTTCAAAGGACAAAAAAGCAATATGTTAGCCTCCTTTTCAACTTAATCTTCTCCCAAAGATGTTAACGCAACTATATCATCACTTACACTTGTACCAAGACAATAATTCTTCACCGTCATGGGATTAGACTACTTGCCAATAGAGCAATAAACAGCAAGGGAGGTAACAGTGTGGCTTTCTGCCTATTGAATCGGATGTATAACCGTCAAACAAAACACGTGAGCTTAGAATGTACTGTGGGAAATCATACAATAGAAATTTACACATTAAAAATGCCCTGTCTGGTGTGGTTCCCATCAGAGCATTGACCTGAAGACAAGGGGCTCAATTCCTGGTCAAGAGCATGTACCTGTGTTGCAGGTTTGATCCCTGTCCCAGGTGGAGTGTGTGCAGAATGCAAGCAATCGATGTGTCTCTCTCACATCTCTCTCTCTCTCTCTCTCTCTCCTTTCTTCCCTCCCTTCCACTCTCTCTAAAAATCAATGGAAAAAATATCCTCTGGTGAGGATTAACAACTATGCCTGTATAGATAATATATATTCAAATAATAAGTGGAAATAACCTCATTACTACATTCTCTTACTAGAGTCAGAGGTGAATCGTGGACTGAAGAAGACTTGTTGTGAGAAAGAAGGGCAGTTCTCATTGTTCCCACCTGTAGGGTTTGAACTGTTTGACAGAGTTGAAGCTTGGCTCTTCTACTTGACAAAAATAATCAGTTATTTTAAAGTTGAAAATCTTAAAATATTTACTGATCCTAAGTCAATATGGGAACTGAATTTCTGTTTTCTCATAGCCTATTCTGAAAGCACATAAAAACAAACTAAAGTCCCGTCCAATGGAAGCTCTGCTTGATAACTAGTCTCCAATTTGTATTTGAGCAGAAGGTTATTGGCCAAACTAGTTCTCAGATTAGGTTAGACTTTATGCTTCTCATTTTCTCCATGGCATGCCTCTGAATATGTTGTTCCCTCAAAGAAAAGGTGCCTAGGCTGGCCAGTGTGGCTCAAGACATCAGAGGTTCATTCCAGGTGAGGGCTCATGCTGTGGTTATGGGCTCGATCCCCAGTAGAGGGCATGTAGGGGGCAGCAGGTAGATGTTTCTCTCTCTTTGTAGATGTTTTTATCTCTCCCTGTGCCTCCCTCTCTCTTTAAAAACAAGCAAAACATATGAAAACAAAAAGGAAGAAGAAGTTGAATGTGAAAAATGTGCTGAAATTCTTGGACTTGGTGGTGTGGTCTGTTGTGAGTTTACCAAAAACAATCAAACCAAAAATAAAAACAAACCAGTGCTGTCCTACAGACAGGACCGTACACTGTGCGGACACACTGGGTGGAGTCCATAGACCCCGAGGACTGCAGTTGGGTGAGAGCAACGAGAGGAGGAGAGACCGTCACAGGGACACGCAGTCGGAGCTATTCCCAGGTGAATCTCCTGGTTGAGAAAGAACCTCACCCATTCTCAAGAAGCGTTTAAAGATTTGAGTTCCATGTTATTGTTGGAACCTGTCCATTACTGTCCCTAAGAAAAGCTGTCCAAGTCCATGTCAGGGAAGTAACTCGGGAGATGATTGTGAAATCCTTCATGCAAATTTACAGACATTGCAAAAGTCTTTTGGTTATCTACCGAGTGACCTCCGTTAACCAGCTTCCCGGTACTGTCACTTAAATTCAGAGCCACACTTGGTAACGGCTCAGGAAGCTGAGTTAAAGCCACACACAGCAGCGCTGGACTCTCTGCGCTAACACCCCCGGGGACCCCGCCATGCTGTTACTGGTCAAGGTCATCCTCACCCTGTGGGTCTCCTGGGCTCATGGACAAGGTGAGTGGAAAACAGAGCTGGCCAGGCCGCGTGCTCTTACCTGGGACTTCATGTTACTCCTACTTTCGTGGGTCTGTGGTTGTTTTTTTTAATGAATCGTCTGTATTGGGAGATCATAACAGAGACTAATGACATTTTTAGGAAAGTACAACCAACTATGTTGAATTTTGCTCCCTGAGTTCCCAGCAAAAGGGCTCGCAATGCCGATTATGGGAATATTTGAATGTGTTCATACACATTTGGAAACAATGGTAATTCTCCCAATTGTATGTGTGGTGACTGTTTTATAGATTGCTTTGTGAAATCAGCCATGTCGAGTCTGTGCCATTTACTGTATTTCAATTAAACCTTAATAAGCCTATAAAAGTAATTACCATTGCGATCAATTTAGTACTGCAATAAGATTAGCAGCGGGTAAAAAGAAATACCTGTTTCCACAAAAAGTAAAATACTTTCTTAACTTCCAATGGAATGTCAATAAATTTTATTAGATTTCTGAGTTTACTGTTAAGTGTTGAGTAAATAAATTACTGTATTTCATAGCATTCTCTCTATTGTGCACTGATGTGCATTCTTTAGAATAATATGTGGTCTCTATTATGTGTCAATGCAACCCTATGTAATAAACAATTGTATCTTAAAACAAATATTACTGGTAGTCTCCTTAACTTATCTTTAATTAAAAAGCAATTTATTTTGTACAGTAGTTCTAATAGTATTCATTGCACTTTTGAATCTTGAAGATTTTATTTACACAATGACATTTCCTCCTCCCTTTACCAACCTTCTGGATATTTTGTCTTCACTCTTCTATCATTTAACATCCCTTATTTTCCTAAAATCAAATTCTCTCATTCCTGAGTGCCTGTAAATGAGGCCTCTAGCAGCGTGCCTTATCATACTTCATCCTGCTACTTGCGAATCATTGCTTTTTCATCAGTTTATAAGAGGAATTCATTTACATGACTTGCTGCCTGCCGGCTTGTGTCTGTTGGGTCAGCTTACATTTGGGCACTTTCCCTCACTGGCCGCCACAGTAACAACCACACAGCAAAGCTGCCTACCCAGAGTAGCTGGCCGGTTGACTGAGCAACGTCCCATGAACAGGAGGTCACAGCTTGATTCCCGGTCGGGGCACAGGCCCAGGTTGCGGGCTCGATCCCCAGTGTGGGGCGTGCAGGAGGCAGCCGGTCCATGATTCTCTCTCATCATGGATGTTTCTCTCTCTCTCTCCCTCCCCTTTCTGCTCTCTAAAATCAATAAAAACATATATTTTTTTTTAAAGATGGGTACCAGTCCTCTCTTTTAAACGCCCTGTAGCTGGAGGTGCATCAATGTTTGTCAGAGGAAAGGATCCCCCTTAGGGGCCAAACCTTTTGTGTGGATGCAAACACCTCTGTGTATTTAGTTGGCAGGGGTTGGATTGAAGTCCAAACTCCCAGAACCTCAGCATGTAACTGTGTGGAGATAAGGCCTTTAAAGGGGTGATTAACTTACAAGAGGTCATTAAGGGGGTGAGGGTAATAGAGGAGACTTGTTCGTTCATCTGGGGTCCTACATTTTTTTCCTTCAGGAAGAACTTGTGATTTCCCGGAAATAAAACATGGAAACATATATGAGGAAAACAGATATAAGCCCACCTTCCCGGTCGCCACGGGGAAATACTTCTACTACTCCTGTGACCACAGCTTCGTGTCTCCCTCCCAGTCACTCTGGACTCAGATAAACTGCACGGAGGGAGGATGGTCGCCAGCTCCGAGGTGTATCAGTGAGTAAATGCCCCCCCGGAACCCCATTCCCCGATGAATTACTTGGCGGACTCAGTGAAGGGGGTGGGGAGAGGGGGCCTGCAGGAGGGATCACAGAATCTGAACAATTACCATGTCAGGGGTGGTGGAGCCAGCTAAGGTAAGATAGGTCACTCTTCAGAAATCAACTCGGCAAAAAATAAGATACAAACTTGATGAAATATCTACATTTTTTTTCGTTTCAAATACCAATGCTCAGCCATTTCAACTGCTAATATTTAATTTAAAAGCGCTCACTTGGTCATTGTAGGAACACAGGCAACCTCTGTCCACCATATGCTGTCCCTTCGGATACTCAAGGAGCCTTTTTACGAGTTTCCTTCCTTCGTGTGATTTTCTTAGTCGCATGCTTGTGAGTCACACCTGTCTTCCTCTCTCAATGAGGGCAGAGACGCAAGGAGAACAACTAAGAGAGAAAAAGGGCGGAGGCGAGCCCAGGAGATGGAAACCTAGGATGCAATTGCGTCAATGGAATGAGAAAAACCAGTCAATTTTCTGATACCTAAGAGAACGTGACAAACGTCAAAATGTGCTTTACATAGAAGTCATGATTGACGGGTAGCACACACTCATATGTTCATTGGCATGAACTGATTTTAAGGAAGTGCTTTTTGCACTTCATGTCTGTCCTGATGCAGGATTCATCTTAGTCATCCTTGGCTTGCAGGACAGTGCTTCTTCCCCTGGGTGGAAAATGGGCGTTCCACATCTTCAGGGAGAACGCACCAGGAGGGGGACACGGTACAGATCGTCTGTAACCAGGGCTACAGCCTCGCCAATGACCAGGATGTCATCACGTGTGCGGAACACGGCTGGTCCACGCCCCCTACATGCAGCCGTATCAGTAAGTAGAACGCTGTCTCCTTCTTCATTTCATAAAGAAATAGCTGTGGCCCTGGCTGGTGTGGCACAGTGGATAGAGCACCAGCCTGCGGACTGAAGGGTCCTGGGTTCGATTCCGGTCAAGGACACATGCCTGGGTTGTGGACTTGATCTCCAGTAGGGGGTGTTCAGGAGGCAGCCAATCAATGATTCTCTCTCATCATTCATGTTTCTCTCTCTCTTCCTCTCCCTCTCTGAAATCAATACAGAAATATACTTAAAAAAAGAAATAGCTGTAGCCCTGGCTGGTGTGGCTCAGTTGATTGAGTGACATCCCTTGTAACAAGAGATCACTGGTTTGAATCCGGTCAAGGCACATGCTGGGGTTGTGGGCTTGATCCCCAGTAGGAGGCATGATGACGCAGCCAATCAATGTTTCTCTCTCTCTCTCTCTCTCTCTCTCTCTCTCTAACAATTAATTAAAAAAATTTTTTGAAATTAACATATAGAAGCATAAATCTTACCAAAAAAAATTGCTTTATCTTTTTTTTAATCTTGCATGTAAATTTGTGAAGATTTTCGGTCTCCATTGTCTATAAATGATCGCTGCATTAGAGATTCCTTTTTTCCTCTTTATTCAGATCTCTCCTGTGGCAGCCCTCCCACAGTGCAAAATGCCTTCATACCAAACCAGAAGCCTAGGTATCGACATG